ACCACGTACACATTATCGGATGAAACCTTTTAAATTGTTTTGTGATGGGTAAAATGATAAAGTAGTATCATAGATGAAGTAATAAAAAGATGTGAGAGATTATGTTGAAAAAAAAAGGGACAACACATTTTTTTGCATTCTTCTCTTTTCTCTAATAATTAAATAATAAGCTAAGAGATGAAAGAGTCCATATTCTTTCATGATGCATGGATGTATATATTAATGAACCACGTTAATTTATTTAATTTTTGTTAGTTAATTGTAATCAATATTTTATGTTATGGTATATAAACAAAAATACCATTTTAACGTATTGTTACAATATAAACGACGATATGTATGATCTGAATGAATAATTTTTTTCACTCTTTAACTACGTTTTATAGAAAATTAGTAATATTTTCACTAGTATGTTAAATTAAAGTGATATTATAGTAATAAAGTACAAGGAAAATATANAGTATGTTAAATTAAAGTGATATTATAGTAATAAAGTACAAGGAAAATATATTGTTAAAATATTCTTACCACTAGAAGATATAGAGTAGTAAGGCGATGTAGAATTACAGGATAACATACCAATTGTCATAATGATTTCATACAAGAAAATGATAAAATAAAACCTGTGAACATTTATTTTCAATATTTTATTATTTATAATTTTTTTTAATTTTTAAATTATATTAAATATATTGTTATTAATCTTAAATGAATACAATAAAATATTGAAAAAAAAAATAATAATAACAATGTTTAAAAATATCATTTTGACGGTTACATCAAAAATCTATTTTTGTTAGTGTTTTAGTAATCTTATCAAGAATCCAATTTAAAAATGGTGGTACACCATAATCGCAATAAAAAACAAAGAAAAATTGTGGTAAATGACGCTAATCCAACCTAGCTCTCAGTTGGATGATCATTCTATCTAATGATCAATCTAATGTTAAAATAACCTTTTTTTTAATTTGAAGAATAATTGTTAAAATAAAAATAAATTTAATGTTTACTAATGTATTTAAATAGTGAAGTTTTGGTATTCTAGTACTATATGGTAAACCTGAAATTTTCATGTTGGCACATAGAAACAAAAATCATCATTAAAATGAAGTTTTTTAATTTATAAAATTTTATTTAATCGACTATGTATACC